GGGATAGGGATAGGTGGGCAGGGGTGGGCTGGGCTCCCCAGTTCTTCACACTGAGCACATAGGATCACAGGGAACATCAGACACTATTGCTGAGAGTGAACTGAGGGGCTCTGGATGTCACAGGAGAGGCCTGAACACATCGTCTGTCACTCCATCCACACCAGGCAGCTGTCTTCATGCTACAGAACAAGAGTCATGAACAATCACTGTGAAGACAACATCCCCACAACCCACCACTCACTCAAAGGTGATGCTGCAAGTCCCCGAAACCCAAAAATGTTTCCTCTGCCCCTCCTCAAGTCAGGTTCCAGAGGGTTACCTTTACAGTCTGGAAGAAGCACATCGGAGCTCTGAGCACTATCCCTGCCTGAGGTAAAAATATATGTATTACTGGGAAGGCAAAAACTTGGCCCCTAGAACATTTGCTGAAGAAGCTATTATTTATTGCCAGAGCTCCCCAAATACACCAGCTTCACCCCACAGGCCTCAGGGACAATCCTGCCCCCCACTCTTACCTGGAGCTGGAGCATAGTCCCCTCCTTTCCCACCTGTGAGAAGAAAAGCTGTGAGAGACCATGGAAGTCCCTGACCCTAGGAAGCTACCAGAACTGACAGCAGACCCAGCTTAGAGACAGGAGCAATGAGGGGTGTGGATGTGTTTCCCATTAATGAGGCAGAGATTCTTCTAAAAGGGACAGAGAGAGAACTCAGACCCTGCCCTTTCCTACCTGTGTTTCTCCTCCTCTTCCTCACAACAGTCACCACAGCTACAATGATGGTCACAGCTCCAAGGAGAACCAGAACAGCAATGACTGCCATGATGGTGACCGTGGACTGAGGAGGCTCTGGGAAGGGAAGGACAGGAAGGGAAGGTGAGGGTCATGACCCAGCTCTCAGCCCTGACCCTGCTCAGGGTCTGTAGAAGGCTCCAGCTTTCCCTGACCCCAACTGTGCACCCACTCCCTCCTTACCCCATCTCAGAGTGAGGGGCTCAGGCAGCCCCTCATGGTACACATGGCATGTGTATTTGTGCTCCTCCCCAGAAGGCACCACCAGAGATGCCCACTTCTGGAAGGATCCATCCCCAGAAGGTCTGGTCTCCACCAGCTCCATGTCCTGAGTCTGTTCCTCCTCCTCCCTCTGCCAGGTCAGGGCGATAAAGGAAGGGTAGAAGCCCATGGCCCAGCACCTCAGGGTGACTTCACCTTTAGGTCCAGGATGATGGGTCACATATGCCTTTGGGGGATCTGTGTGGAAGGGTTAAGAAATCCCACAATTAACAAGATAAACTGAAATCTTCAAAGATAAAGTTAAATCAATGATGACACTGAACTATGTGACTGTTTGTACACTTCTGTCATCACACTAGTGACTAGGTAGGGCTGGTCCCTTTGTCACAGAACTGCAGTTTCCTGGAAGACCCAAAAGCTAAGAGGGAATACACATGAGCCAGTAGATCAACATGGTCTTCTTTTGTGACATTCTGTAGCATGAGTAATGTAGGAAAAGGATGAAGGAATAGAAAATAATTAATTTACATATGTGATTAAATTCACATAAATATAAGATATTAAGAAGAAGGAGGTACATAGGTGCCACCAATTCTTCTGCCACCATTGATGCACAACCATTGTGGCCATCTTGCTCACCAGCATTTACTGTCTGACCAATAGAACAGCCATCAACAAAATGTGTATCACTATTGGGTAAACCTCTGACCCTCAGCCAGAGGAAATGAATCTCGAAGCCACGCCTCTGGGGGGGACAAGATACCAGGTATTGTCACCCAGGATCCCTGAAGTGTGCTGTGGAGCCCAGTGTAGCACTCACTGGGACACAGCAGTGCTCACAGGGTGTGAGGATCTTCCCTGTCACTCCAGTCCTTGAGGTGCAGAAGACCCTGTCTCTGAGGAAGTTCAGTTCCTAATTCACTAGGGCAACACTGTAACTTGTTGGGTCAGAGGGAGAGCAGGGTCTTCTGGATGGTTAATTTTGGTTGAAAATATAAGCTCCCTGAAATCTTTCTCGTTTAAAGGGAACACTGACTTGCTCCAAAGCTATGGAAAAACCGTGTCTCCAAAGGGGTGGGAGGAGGGAAATACCACTACCACCACCACCAACAACAAAAGAGCCTCTGATTTAACTTGTCTAATTATCCAGAGTGTGAGTCCCCATGGCACCTGTGGAGACAGATACACATAACACAACGAGAGGGTGAGAAGAAATACTGTCCCAGTGAGAAAGAAAAACTAAGTTAAAGGAAAATGACGACCTCGAAAATAAAACAAAACAAAAATATGAAAGAAAAAAGAAAATAAAAACCCCACAATTTGTTCAGGGCTCCACGTAAGTTCCCACGTGACCATTCTAGGAAGACGTAGAATTGGGGTGTGGGAGGGATGCAAACCTCAAACACAGGAATCTGGGAGAATGTATTCTTTGGAAAGTTCAAGAAACTGGGGGTAGCAGCCTTGGGTAGGAGAGTCCATTTCTCCTGTCAGGTGAAGGAGACTCCAGTCTTGGTGTGTAAGGGCTGACACACTCAGATGACAGGACTCAGTGTCCACAGACACTAAGTGTGGCAGAGAACACGGCCTGGGAGAGGCCATGGCTGACAGGGGCTGCAGACTGAAGGAGCCACTGTTGGTGATGTCGGGATCCTCTCTCCTCCCTCCTGAGACAGATGTGGAACTGTCCAGGGAGAAGGCTGAGCCCTGGGAGGTCAGTGCGGTCCCTGCCATGCTGGATCAGGAGACCCAGGGACCCTGTCTGCCCTCAGAGACAGGGGCATGACCCCAGTGAGGGTTTCCTGTTCCTCAGGACTGAGCCCAGCCCGAAGCAGAGGGAGGAGTTGCCCGCGGCCCCGCACCTGTGCGCAGCAGCGCATCCTTCCCGTTCTCCAGGTATCTGCGCAGCCACTGCACGCACTCGTCTTCCAGGTAGGCCTTATCTCTCTCTGCACCACCATCCTGCTCCCACTTGCGCTGGGTGATCTGTGCCGCCGTGTCCGCTGCAGTCCACGTCGTCAGATCGTCGTTCAGGGCGAGGTAATCGTGGCCGTCGTAGGCGAACTGTTCGTACCCGCGGAGGAGGCGCCCGTTTGACCCCACCTCACAGCCATAAGTCACCTGGAAGGTGTGAGAGCCTGCGGGGACCCCACGGTCAGCCCCGCCCACTCGCCCCGCTCCGGTCACCCACTCCCGCGGCCCCGCCCTCCTGTGGACTCTAAACCGAAAGGGAAACCGGGTCCGGTCCCCGCTCTCCTCCCGAACCTCGGACCTGGGACCCGGGGCGACTCCGGCCCGCGCGTGGGGACGTGGAGGGGTCGTGACCTCCGACCGCGGTCACTCACCGCCCTCGCTCTGGTTGTAGTAGCGGAGCAGGGTCTTCAGGTTGTCTCGGAAAGTCTGCTCTTGTTTCTTGGCGATCTGTGTCGCCCTCTCCCAATACTCCGGCCCCTCCTGCTCCACCCACGGCGCCCGCGGCTCGGCCTTCGGAGTCTCCGCGTCGCTGTCGTAGCGCGCGAACTGCGTGTTGTCCACGTAGCCGACGGAGATGAACCGGGGCTCCCCGAGGCCGGGCCGGGACACGGCGGTGTAGAAATACCGCAGCGAGTGCGAGCCTGGGGGCGGCGCGCGGTGAGACCCCGACCCTGCTCCCGGGACCCCGGGCAGGAGCGCAGGCCGGGAGGGGAGCAGGGCGCGGGGCTCGGGTCGCGGGTGGGGAAGGGGCGGGAGGGTCCGGCTGGGCCACGCGGGGACGCGGCTTCCCCGGTGCCGCCCCCGCCCTCCCCGCGGAGCCCGGTTCCCTCCCGACCCCGCACTCACCCGCGCGGGTCTGGGTCGGGGCCAGGGCGGCCGCCAGCAGCAGGAGCAGCGTGTGTGGGGCCATCGCCCCCATTTTAGCTCCAGGGCGACTCTGACTTCCGTGATTTGGGACTTTACAGCCGGTGACCGCGGTGACGCTGATTGGTTCTTCGGGATCTCGTCACCCAATGGGAGTGAGAAACGCAAACTTGTCATCAGTGTCCGGGCAGAAGGACCTGAGCCAGGTTAGGAGCTGGAGAAGTGAAACCGGGGACAGGGGAATCCCCAGCCCTGGGCTTCCCCACACAGACCTCACCCTCCTGGGGACTAAGACTTTGCCTGAGCCCTGTGCTGCGGGATGGGGCGCTGTGTGTCATGTTGTCTCTGAGCCGCCTAAGGACAACTGCTCCTCAGGTTAGTCAGGATGAAACCTAAGAGCATGAAGTTTCCAGAGAAAATACACAGCACTTAAAATGAATGTTCAGGGAAACAGGTGTTGTCGGAGTCCTGGAGGGTGCGGGACTGCTGTGGACACCGGCATCAGGAGGTGACTGGGGATTTTACAGCTCTGATTAAGCACTTTTGACACACTGTGTCATATGTGACTCTCCCTGCAGGAAAGAGGCTCTGCTCATCTCTGCTTTCTCGTTCTACTTCAGTTATGTGTGTCTGGGATTTGAAGACATCAAGTAAAAATTCAGACAAACAAAAACTGTATAAATACATTTTTTTCTCCAAACTATTGAACACTGATGAAATGTCAAATACCAGTATATACCTCTGTCATGAGAATGACTCTCTGTCCAGGAACTCAGAAGCCAACTGTTATCAGATCCAGGGTCCCAAAGTCTGCGACAATCATCTCCCTCATCTCATCAGCTCATAGAGTGAGAGTGAAGGTCAGAGATAGATAGATAGATAGATAGATAGATAGATAGATAGATAGATAGATAGATAGATAGAGGGAGGGTCACAGGTTATGTAACTTCAGCCACACTGTCACCATTATTCTCTTTATTATTAGTTCCAGTTCCTCTCTGACTGTGGTTTATTCACTAAAGCAGCTGCACCATGGAAGTGTGTGCACACAGGGAAACGTGGAGTGTAGACAGGGTCAGTGCCCTGCTGTATTTGGTCTCCATAGGGTTCTCTTCCCATGGAGAAGGGGTCTACTGTGCTGATATATTTACCTAGGTCCACACGGAGATCTCTAGATTATGGAATGAAGATCCGTGTAAACACAAGCACCTGGAGCCACAGATGATCATCTGGGAAGAAACACTAGGAGTCTGAGTGTAAGCCCAAGACTGTGAAGACATGATCCTGAGTGAAGAGGCAAAGTCTCTATTTACAGGTGAGATCCTGAGCTCCAGGCTTGGCAGTGTGAGCTGTCCACTGCAGGTGAACACAAGAGCCTGGTCTCTGTGGGAGTCTGTGTGGTGCTTGAGGCCAGAGCCTCTGCTTTGAAGAGAAACATCTCTCCACTGCATCCCTGTTGACTGAGGTTTTCTGCCCCACCCGGTCCTTGTCCTGCCTGGGTCCTGCAGTTGTTAAGTCCCACAGAAATCACACAGAGGTCTACATTAGTTATAAACTGATTGGCCCATTAGCTCAGGCTTCTTATTAACTCTTATAACTTATATTAGCCCATTATTCTTGTCTATGTTAGCCACATGGCTCAGTGCCTTTTTCAGCAAGGTAATCACATCTTACTACTTCTGTGGCTCGGCAAGGACTGCAGAGGAGTGGGCTTCCACCTTCTCAGAATTCTCCTGTTCTCCTTGACCCGCCTCTACTTCCTGTCTGGTTGTCCTGCCTATACTTCCTGCCTGGGTAGTGGCCAATCAGCATTTATTTAAAATATAATTGACAGAATACAGACCATTCTCCCACACCACTTCCCCCTCTTTTTTTTTAAACAAAGGAAAATATCCATAGTCCATTTGTTGGGAATGTGGGCATAGTATTTCCTGCTGGTTGGGGATGCTGATAATCTTATGGGGACCTATAGAAAATTTAGAATTATGATCAAGTCCTGACTGGAGTATCATGTGAGGCTTGATCATTTCAGGCAGCATCTTGAATCTGTTCTGGATGTAGAACTCTGACATCTGGGCCATCTGTTCCTACTAGAGATTTCTCAGGTGGTCTTCCTTGATCAAACCTGATTTTTCTTAACTCAGAATGAATCCACAGCCTCTCATTTCCCATGGAAACAAAAGCAAATGCTCTTCTCCAGAGTAGCATACATTTTTACTTCAATTTTGAAGTCAAGGTATTTTTTAAAAACATTTATCTTGGGTTATTTCAGCAGCATTTATAAGCAAATATCTTTTAGCAGCCATTGCTCCTTCCTCAGCATTCAAACAATTCAAAAAGAACATAATAACATACAGTATCCAGACTCTGTATATTTTTCATCTTTATGTGGCTTTATTTTAACATCTATTTCTTTTATTTTTAATTTTTGGCTTTTTGAGACAGAATTTTTCTGTGTATCTTTGTCCTGGAATTTACCCTGTAGACCAGGCTGTCCTTGAACTCACAGAGCTCTGCCTGCCTCTGTCTTCCAAGTGGTGGGATTAAAGGTGTGTGCCACTATACTGAACTACTCTTTTTTTTTTTTTTAAGGACTTTAACCTTTTTTTTTCTCTCCCAAGCCTGGATATATTTCTAAACACAGTAAACCATTTAGACTTTTTTTTTTTGTCTTTGAATCTATCTTTGCTGTATATCTCTCTCTTTTTCTGACCACATGAGTCTTTAATTTGCTAAACGATATGGCTAGGATTAAAGCCATGGCTTTGAAGGCTACATCCAGTCCATTCCTTAGCTTTCTGAGATTCCAGCCTCCTGGCTGAGGTACCGGCCAGAGCCATGTTTATTTCCACAAGTCTATGGCATTTCAGGGTCCCTTCCACAAACAGAAAGCATGTCATCAATACCATGTAAGTGTTTCGTGGCAGGACCTCTTTAAAGAGCTGCAATGTTTTGCAGCTAAAGCTGAGTCAGGAAGCCTCTCTTAAATGAGAGCCATGTATCTAGAAAGCAGAACCCACCTGAGAAAATGCTGTTATCAATAAACCATGCTTAACACTATTCTTTTCTGTCTAGAATTACTTCCCAAGCTCTGTCAGGCTTTATGTGGATGTAGTCGTCCACATGTTGGGCACCATTTGTTGACTGAGGTTTTCTGTCCCACCCGGTCCTTGTCCTGCTCAATTCCTGCAGTCATTAAGTCCCACAGAAATCGCACAGAGGTCTACATTAGTTATAAACTAATTGACCCATTAGCTCAGGCTTCTTATTAACTCTTACAACTTACATTAGCCCATTATTCTTGTCTATGTTAGCCGCATGGTTCAGTACCTTTTCAGCAGTCAGAGCTTATTAAAAATATAATTGACAGAATACAGACCATTCATCCCAACCCGCTTGTTGTTGCCATTGTATTCCCAGAAGAGACTTTTCTTCTAGAAGATCCAGGGTCTGACTATGACGAGAAAAAGAAAGAGGAAGGGTGGTGGAGAGAATGAAATGAGTCTGACCTGTAGGTCTCTCCTGGATTTTGGTTTGTTTCTGTTTTTTTTTTTTAAGACAAGGTCTGTCTCCACAGCTCTGTCTGTTGTTGATCTCACAGAAACCCCCCTGCCTTTGCAGCCTACGTGCTGGGATTAAAGGCTGTGTCACCACACTTGGCTTTAGTTAGTTTTCTATGACTGTGAAAAGACACTGTGAACCCCAGCAACTTATAAAAGGATATGTTTTATTTGGGTTTAAGTTTTCAGAGACGTTGAGTCCAGGATGCCAGAGGAAGGTATGGTGGCAGGAACAGCTGAGAGCTCACATCTTGATCCACAGGCAAGTGTTAGAGACAATGGGAATAGTGGGAGTCTTTAAAACCTCCATGCCCAGCCCCAGTGACACACCTCCTCCAACAAGGCCACACCTCCTAATCCTTACCAAACAGTTCCATCAACTGGAACTCAAGTATCCACCCCCTGAACCTCTGTGGCCATTCTCATTCAACCCCCCACAGTATTCAGTGTGGGATGTCAGATGCCCTGCAAGGCTCTGCAGATGTGTCCACTGTGGTCTGTAGACAAACACCGTCAAGCAGGAGGACCCCACAGCACTATGATCTCCTCCTTTGCTTCTGTCACCTCCTGCCCAGTCCTCTGCCTTCTCCCTCAGGCCTCACCCCAGCAGTGCCCAGCACCCCTGACTCCAGAGCTCTGCACTAACACTGTCTCTTCCTTTGCATCTAGTTTCTCTCTGTGGTCAGCCATCTTGTCAGCCATCTTGCTGTGAGCCAGGCTGTGTGGTTTCCTTATGTAAAAGCTACAATAGGGGCTGGAGAGGTGGCTCAAGGTAAGGAGCACCTGTTGCTGTTGCAGAGGATCTAGGTTTAGTTCCCAGCACCCACATGGTCCTTCACAACCATCTGTGACTCCAGTTCCAGGGGATCCAGTGCCTGGTGCACCTGCATACTCATAAGCTTAAAATATACATCAAATAAAAAGAAAGTTAAAAATACATTTTTCTTTTCTTTCTTTCTTTCTTTCTTTCTTTCTTTCTT